TTATGGTCAGTGGTTGCAAACATTTGAGGCCTTTGCAATCCTCCCATTCGAAACGAAAACCAAAAGCAATAGTTTAAATTAGCAGCAGATGTTTCTGTCGCTCCATCCGACAAATTTTATCCGAATAACAATTGCGTCTTTTGTAGAAAGTGTGTAAACGCATAACTCCCCACTATTGTGAACGGACTACCGATTAAACTAAGCTCATTTTCCATCATTCAAAGGCTTGCTGTATAAAATTCTGGATTTCCCAGAACCCCTTAATAAATAAAACAGCTTGTTATAATTAGATTCAGTTTAAAGTCTAATGCTCTATTTACAGCATATCAATGATGAGGAGCTTCCCTCCGTAAAGTGAAACATATCTTTGCTGAGCTAGATGATTTTCGCCCATCAAAACCGGGAGAACTGAATTTCGAGTATTACTTTGTAGAAGTTGGAGGATGCCGTTAGTATACGGCAGTTTTATTGATGATAGTATGTTGAAGGCTTTCGTATACCTACTCATGTCAATTCATTTTGACTGATTCTACGCATGTAAGTGAGAGCATAGGGAAATTATGAAGAAGTACAAAATACAGTCGTGTCAGCCGATCCGGAAAAGCTGAGGGTGCCGCCATCTGATTGGCTAGCAGAAAGTTGCGTCTGTCCGTTCAGAAGAAAACATTCACAGAAGCTAATGTGATTTAACTAACTTAGCACAAAACATCCTAAAGAGGTTAGTTTTCAAAAATTCCTTGATATAGATTCAAGTGGAACAATAAGAGAATTTAGAGCAAGAAAACCGTCCTAATACCTTGCTAAAATATGAATGTAGGACGCTGTTTTGCCCGGTTTTATGCGATAAGGTGTGTAAAGGCGAAGGCATTTGCTAGTGACGAACCTTCGGCAAAACTAATTTTATGAATCAGACTTGTATATATGCTCCCGACTCTCCCCCTCTCCACAGGACGAATGAGTAGGAACGTCGCCCCCCCAAATAACACAGCTTACCGTGTGCTAAATTCCATGAAAGGAAAATATTCCAGTGTCTTTAACCTACCACCAACCCTAGTCCAAACCGTTAATGTAACCAGGAAATTAGCTACCCAGTCCTAAGTTCCCTGAAACTGAAATTCGGCAGCTGATATAGGACCTGTCTCCGTAACAGGGGTGTATTTCATGTAAACTGCTAGATTTAAGCATATTTTGATAACTTATACCCATGATCTCAGTGATTGAAGTTATTATTTTGCTGAATGCGTTGGATGCTACCTCCAAAATAAAGTGTATTCTTTTTCTCTCTCTCTCATTTTACCACAGAGCCAATTGTATTATGGAGGGTTCTTGTTCTTACGCAAGGCTACGTAAGCAATCCCCTACCAGTTTATAGTGCGAATAGTCGGCCAAGTCGGAATAGGAATCCATACGTTATACCAGTGGTTTACGCTAAATTCTAGGAAAGGTGCCTACCTCCTGGCCTAATCCTGCCCATGATTTCTTAGAGAGTTACCGCTTCATTGCATGTGTAATGCGAGGCCACTTATTCCCGTATCCGACCGAAAAGTCTACAGCAGGCTCCAGTTTAAGTTATCTCAGAGGTGGCGCTGAAGTTATCCCAAGCTCCGTCCGGTCTCGGAACTTCTTTCTTTCTCTCACTGCTTGTCTTTTCTGCTCCGACTTCCAACCATACTGGTGCTGGACACTTCAGTGACGCATTTAACAGAACTGAGCGGTGGTTTCAATTTGCCGAAAGGAAATTTCGGTTAAGGTTAAGAACAGCTTATCCCGCAACCAGGGAACATTGGGTATCAGCGTAGTTGAGGCGGTCGTTAACAGTGGAACACCCACGATGTGAATTAGCGTCACTCGTTCTCGGTACCGCAGGAATTTTAGAGTGGACGCGGCTTGCTCTAAATCTCTGGCGACTGAGG